CCAGAGTGAAAATGATCTTCTTAAAAATGTAATACAAAGCTAATCTGTTATACAGATAGCGCAAAATGAAGATTTAAGCTAAAAGAGATCTAAAGAAAGATAACCTAATCAAAATTGTTACAAATTATAATAATTATAAGTAAAATTATAATTCTTATCTTAAATTATAAATTTTTTAAGATAATTTATAAAATAAAATATTAACATTTACAAAAAAATTAGAATAAATAAATTTTCTAATTATATTCTGTAATAAAATTAATTAATAAAAATAAATAATATTAAAAAATTAATATAGTTCATTAAAAAAAGTTTGATATATTAGATAAATATAAATAGATTATTTTTTCAAAATAAAATTTTTAATTTTATCTCATTTAATTAAGTTATTAGATATTAGAATTTATTTAAATATAAAAATTTTTATTATATATCTTTTATAAAAAAAAATTTTACTAATAATAAACTTTTTAATTATTATTTCTTAAATTTTACTATATAAAATTTAATTAAAATTAATATAAAAATTATATAATAAACAATTTAATTATTAAACTTTGAATCTTAATATCTTTATAACTACTAATTTTATTTTTATAAAATTTAAAATATATATTTATTAAATCTAGAATAATTTACTTGTATAATTTAAAGTTTTAATATTGTAAATTGATAATAATAATATTTAAAATATCTTTTTTTTAAAAAAAAATTTATTTTAGTTTTTTTAGTAAAGTAATACTTTATTTATTATTAAATTAAAGTATAATAAAATAATTAAAATAATATAAAAAGTAAATTTAAATTATTTTTTATTTAATATAAAAAAATTATAAAGATTAATTAAAATTTGAATGATTTTTATTAGAAGCAATTATTAATTTTTATATTAATATATCATTCTTTTTGCAATAATTCATATAAATATATTTACTTAATAGAATTCTTTTATTAAGATTTTCTTTTTTATTATATTATTTTCAATTCTTTAATGCTTAATTTGTTTAATGTTATTATAAATTATTCTTATTATATACATCAAGTTTCATTTAATATTTAATTAATAATAATTAGAAGTCATTATCTTTTCTTCAGGACAAGTATCAATATGCTAACTAATTTCATCTCTTGTCTGGACAGATCTTTCATCACTTTCAACTCTATTTTTTCATTCTGTATGATCTGCTCTTCAGATTGTTCTCTGGCTGATACTTGATTTTGAGATGGTATAGTCATTGTGAAAGATAAGTATAATTTCTTTAACAAACTGTTATTTTAACTATTTAATCTTTCCGCTTCTTTCGGCCTTTCGATTGATTATCTGGCTATGCCGGACCAAAAACTGTTATCCGGTGGACCTTTTGTTAGGAATCTCCGTGACTGTTCGATCACGAGGGTTTGAGTTTATTTTTATTAACGCGAATAGTTTATGAAAAAATCTTAGTAACCAGAGTTGCAAAAAATTTCCAGGGGATAGATAAGTTGTAACAATAAAAAAAGGATAACGACAGTGACGTCCAAAAAAGTGATTGGTGAGTTAAGCGTGTGATCAGGAAAGACGAGCTATTTACTGTCTTCTCGAGTTGCAAAAACTCACTTTAAATGTATATAATTCCACCAGTGAAAATTTAAGTTAAGTGACGTTATTGCATTGCTACAAATACAATATCTGCAAACTGCGAGTCGTATGTAACTTTATAAATATAGCATCATATAAAAATCTATAAATTCTAAAAAATACTCCTCTCATTCATTTGCTCCTTTCGATTTATTGGTTAACTCATTACTAATGCTACTCAAATGATCTATTCTATTTATTCCGATTATTGCAAACTGACAGCCTCCCTTTCCAACCACTTCATTCCAGGACTATTAGGTTTCATCAAAGGCCCAACCTTTGCAAGACACTCTGCATTGAAATCATTGATCCATTTCTCTTCGGCCGGATTCAGCAGTGATTTATCAATCAATTTTGTTTGAATTGGGACCATGGACACATGTTCGAAACCGAGATATCCTCGATCGCCGAAATTGTTTGGCGTTTTCACTTCACGAACTATGAGCAGCGACTCGATGCGAATACCGAATTTTCCGTCTTCGTAGTATCCGGGTTCGTCAGTTACGGTCATGCCTGCTTGGAATGGGGTGTCGTTGTATGCAATACGAGTGCCGATTCCCTGGGGTCCTTTTTTATATAGAAATTAAGTAAAGTTAGTTTATTTATGAAGAGAGCAAATCTTAAATAAGAAATTCAACTGACCTTCATGAACATTCAAGTAATGCCCAACACCATGCCCAGTACCATGACGAAAATCCCAACCATCTTTCCATAGAGCTGTCCTAGCAAGAACATCCAAAATATAGCCTACAATTAAACAATCAAAGTAGTTAATTTCATTATACTAATAAAAAATATATCATTCTTTATTATATAATAAATATCTTGCACACACCTGTAGTTCCTTGCGGGAATACAGCTTGATCAATAGCAATATGACCTTGCAATACACGAGTAAAAGCTCGCCTTTCTTGTTCAGTTGGTGTACCGAAATGAATTGTACGAGTAATATCGGTTGTGCCATCTCTTAAGATTCAAGATGATAATGAATGACAAAATGGAAAAGAATATGCAATACACATATGCATATGCATACAAATGAACAATAATGTGTCGCCATTTTTAAGCACCTGTATTGACCACCAGAATCACACAAGTACAAAAGAGACGGATCAATTATCGCGCATTTGCCTGGTTGCGGTGAGTAGTGAATGATAGCTCCATTTGGTCCAGAAGCCGAAATTGTGTCAAAGGATAACCCCACAAAATCCTCTAACTCCCTGTTGAGAGTAATAAATGTCCCCGAAGAGAATATTTTTTATTTAATATCAAAATTATAGTTAAGGTAATGTTATTAGGTTTCTTTCTCGTATACTCACGCTCTAAATTTTTCAAGGCGTGTTGAACCATCCAACTCGGTTAATTTCTTTCCAGCGGCGAGCTCCTCTTCTAACCATGCAAAATAGTTTATCTAATGTCATACGAAATGAACAATTGAATTTAGTTAATCATGAAAATTTATCATGCAAGTTTGTAACTATTTACCACTGCGGAAGCATCTCTTAAGTGACATTGTCTTATTCCCTCTAGCTCAACTTCATTCTTTATCGCTTTGGCGTCTTGTACAGGAGACCTATTTTCTTCAACATTGTCCTATAAAGGAAATAATTTAACAAAGAAAAATTTAAACTACTACAGTAAAAGAGACTCAACAAATACACACCTCACCAACTGCATTAGCTAACGCCAGGCTTGCCTTATTAGGAAGCAATATTTTCTATATATATACATATGTATAACCAAATACAAAATTACTAAATATAAAGGGTTAACCTCTACCTCCATTATGAAAATCAATGATTATTAATAAATAAATATTGTTTTATCTTGCCTGCTTTTCTTCTTTTAATTTTGTTTTTAAATTTCTTAAGTCTTCGAAAATAGCAGAATATGGACTAAGCTTAACATCTGTGCCAAGATGAAACTTCGCTTCATTAGTTATTCTGCTTTCATTGGTGTATAGAGTAATATCATTTTTGGTCACAAGTGAGTATGCGTGAAACACGGGATTATATGGAACATCGGAGCCACGAAGATTGAAAAACCCTAATTACAAAATAAGAATATTAATAAACCAGATGAATAATAAATATATAGGCGCAGTGTGAGAAATGAATTGATCAAAATGTAGATTATTCTGACTATGCCTTACAAGCAATTTCATCCAACGCTGTAATGACAAAACCATACACCTTCAATTTTGCTAATTCTACTCGAAGGCTAGCAATTTTATCAGCATGCGAACGACCTTTTAATTACAAATAGGTATTCATGTATGAATAAAATAATTGAAATCAAGACAAATTGACGTGCGAGTTTGCAGAATATTTACTAACCTGAGTATCTTAATGCCAGCATGGTCACAGGATTAGCAGCTGGAGTAGGCTTGTCCTTACCCCAAACACTATCAACCAAATTTTCATCCGTGCTCACTAATGTTGAGCCTACTTTTTCCAAAGATTCGGATAAACTTCTAGCATCAGCTAATTATAGAAAATCAAAGTTGCATTAATTAGCTCTATATTTATTAATTAATCAATTAGTAATTGGTAGTATATATCAAAGCTTACGAAAAGTTATTAAAGTAGGGTCGATTCCAATTCTAGATCCATTGGTAAAATTCTATATATTATATATGACGAATTTGTTGACTTGTAGACATTTCAAAAGAGACTATTTAACACAAAATAGGGAATTCACCTGCACTAAATATTCTTGCCAGGTCGGCACATCCGGCAACCCTTGTTTCATTAGTGTCCAATTCGAGTCTAATTGCAAACTTGCTTGAAGGAAGTATCGTCCATCGGTAAATAAGAGAGCTTTTTGTTTGCTCACTATGGCTAACCCTGTTAGAAAGATAGATTCGTTTTCAATTAACCACCACTTAATAAATAATAAGTAATTAATTCAGTAAATACCAGCTGATCCAGTGAATCCCGAAATGAAAGCACGACGTTGATCACAAGGTGCCGTATATTCACTCTTTTTATTAAAGAATATTGGAATATATAAAAGAAAAATACAGTTTTTAAGCAAGAAAAGATAGCTTTAAATTAGTAAAAAGTCAAGAGTATACCTGATGCGCATCTTCTGAGGGAATTACACTAAGAAAAAGGGGAGAATTCAATTTATAAGACAAACAAGCTAAATCAAGAATATTACCAAACTTACTATGCGTTAAGCTTATATTTATCCTGCTCGAACAAGGCGCGTAACTTGGCAAGCCTCTCCGTCGTGTTTACCGGAGTAAATTCTTTTGCGGCCATTGAACCAGAAATAAATCTTCGATACAATGAAAGAAATGGGTGTTTCTGCATGTTCATCATTATTTATCATTTGCTAACACGATCAGATGACGTTAAACTAAATTATTTTTTGGCCCAAATTGGGATTTGGTCCATTATCGATCGGTAGATATGTCTCCTCAAATGATATGTTATGATTTTCAACGTCTTAATATCCAGTTTTTTATATATAAAAAACTGAAATGAAATCCTTTACGTTATAGGTATATACAGTCGACCCTCTATATAGTCACCAGGTATATAGTCACATCCTCTATATAGTCACTCTTTTTTTATAACCGAAAATTGTCTATCAATTTACTCTCTTTAAAAGTCATTCCTCCCGTTCTAGCTAATTACCCTCTCTATACAGTCACGAAGTCACATGATTTTTAGAAAGAGACCAATCTATTTCTTCTCTTCTATTTTTTCTCTTATTTCTTCACTCTTCTTTTCTCTTCACTTTCTTTTTTATTTTCTTTCTTTCTTTTTCTTAATCTTTATTCTTCTTTTTATTTATTTCTTTTCATTTCTTGATATTATTTATTAAAGAATAAAGAATCTGTTAATTATCAAAATAGTACCTATTTTATCTATTTTATCAAAAATTTTAATAATATATTATATAATAATTTTTAATATATTTAAATATTATTTTTATTATTAAAATATAATTAAAATTAATTTATAAAAAAATATAGTGTTACTATTTTAAGCTTATGTATATACAAGTAATTTAAAATAGTAATAATAATTGTATTCATAATAATTATTCACTTTTTATCTTTGAAAGTTTTATAATGATTAATTATCTTTTTAATAAGATAATTTATATGAGTTTACTTCTAACAAAATTATTCTTTTAATAGAGCAAGAAGAAAATAAAGATAAGATATATAATAAATATATATGTTTATTATAAGAAAATACTAGTTAACTATTCTTAATTCAGTAATTAACTACTTTTATCAAACTTAATTATTCTTTTTAATTACTTTTTGATTTTTTATATATAATATTTTCTTGTTATACTAATTATAAATTATTTTTAATAATATTTTATTTAATTTATTCAAGAATAAGTAGAATTTTGAAAGAATTATTATAAAGAACTTTTTTAAATTAAATATAAAATAATTAGAAATTAAAATTAGTAAGATATTAAAGAAATTATAATTAAAGAAAGAAAAATTAATAATAACTATGGATTGATGTAAAAATATCCATATCTCAGATAAATATTAATAAATTATTTTTTTAAAATAAAATTTTAATTCTGTTTTATTTAATTAAGTTATTAGGTATTAGGATTTATTTAAATGTAAAAATTTTTATTATATATCTTTTATAAAAAAATG